TTTTAAATATATTTTTATTGATTTCAGAGCAGAAGGAAGAGGGAGAGAGAGGAGAGAGATAGAAACATCAATGATGGGAGAGAATCATCAATTAGCTTCCTCCCACACACCCCACAACTGGGGATCGAGTCCACAACCTGGGCATGTGCCCTGACTGGGAACTGAATTGTGACCTTCTGGTTCATAGGTCGACACTCAACCACTGAGTCAGGCACACATGATGTTTTACCCACCACATAGTGTCTATAGTCCCGAGGTCCAGCACAACACACAAAATACTTAATCATACTGACATAGGACAGTAAGAAACTAGGAAAGTTCCTGGCAAGTGGAATGGTGAAAATAAGACAAGATAGTTAAAATAAGGTCAAATAATTTGAACAATTTACAGTCAGCTAATGACTCACAAGACCTTATGTTCCCCAAGACACCTGACAGCGAATTGTTTACACCTCTCCTCCCTAACCAGAGAGCACGTAGCTTAAGTCACCCTGGTTGAGCCGAAACCGGTTTGGCTCAATGGATAGAGCGTCGGCCTGTGGTCTGAAATGTCCCGGGTTCGATTCCGGTCAAGGGCATGTACCTTAGTTGCGGGCACATCCCCAGTAGGGGGTGTGCAAGAGGCAGCTGATTCTCTCTCATCGATGTTTCTAACTCTCTATCCCTCTCTTTTCCTATCTGTAAAAAAACCAATAAAATAGATTTTTAAAAAATTTACTAGATTTTATTTTTTTTTAAAAAGTCACCCTGGTTGAGGAGACAGAGGACAGAAACCCAGTTAAAACTATTTGTGTCAGGCAAAACCAAGGATGGCTGAAGTCAGGGGAACAAATAACAAAAACCCAATTAGAGCCAGACAGACCGAAGATAACAGTAAAATAGTAAAGCCAGCCAAAGAATAATCCCAAGCTCCTGTATGGGCTCATTTGGATGCATTCACATATTAAAGACGCACCTGAAAAGTTGGTGAATATTCTACTATGACCCTCCACTTAGATTCTCACCTGCCTTCAGAAGAAAGATAAAAACCCTTAAGACAAAGACCCCACTGGAGTCTCTCTATAGCACCCATACCTGTTCTGGGGCATGAACTTTTAACTTTCTTTCTCCTAAACTCTAAGGATCCCCATGAGACTTGCAACCAGGGGAGCAGCAGGCAGCGGCAGTTCATCCCAGGCTTACCCCCTGAACCTGTCTCCAAGGTTCCCTTCTTCTCAAACTTTCCTACGAGCTGACAGCAACCCCGCCCAGGCTCATTTCTTTCCTATAAGGTTTCTAGGGAATCGAGGCTCTCTCCTGTTGCTTCTTCTATCCCAAGCCCTTCCTGTTTCTCCCAGTCCCCAGCTTTAATAAACATGTTCTCAAAGTCACCTGGACTCATCTTGTGAAATCTTTCCTGCTTGAGGTCAAGAACCCACACACTATGGCCAGCCTGAGGCAGAGCTGCTCCAGGCCTCCTGGTCCTTGTCCAGTGACACATACCATGTCTCTCTCTCTCTCTCTCTCTCTCTCTCTCTCTCTCTCTCTCTCCCCCTTTTACCATGTGCCAATGAGGTGCCCATGCATACCAATGCCCCACCCACCTCTGGCTGTACCATGTGTAACCGTAATAGCAACTGAGAGTTAACAAGGGCATTCTGTAGTCATGGTCCATGTGGTTTACATGCATGATCTTATTTGATCTCTGAAGTAGGTAGGTTTATACATCTTCCCGATGAGCAACATGAGACTCGAAGAAGTGAAATTTCAAAAACTTTAGGCTGACTCCTTAGTCTATGTTCACTACCACTGCCAAGTATGGCACCCTCACCCTCACCCTCACCCTCAACCCTCTCCTGTCCACACATGCTCACCCACATATACACACATACACCAATACGCCCACATACGCGCACACTCACTCTCACGGGCACTTGCACCTCACACGCTCTCCTCCCACCATCTTGGTCAGAGGCTTTAATTACACTACCCTCGACAACTTGTAATTAACTCCTCTCCCCCCCATCTAGGGGAGATGTCTGGACCCGCTTCTTAAGGGTAGGCATCAAGGCCAAGAGGCCAAGAAGTCCACATCTGGCAGGGAGGGCCTGGGTACCAGAGTAGCTCTTGGGCCAATGTCCAGGGGAGTCCAGGAGAGGATGGGGTCTGACAGAAGGAGGCGGGCAGAGGTGGCCGGATTTTCCCAGGAAATCAGGTTTGCTACAGCGGCTCCTCCCAGGCTGGTCAGGAAGCAATTGGGCAACAGCAGCCGTGGGTGGCCAGGCAGGCGGGTGAGAGGACATTTCCCGTTTGTTTCACTGATGTCAGCCGCTTCCATCAGGAGGGAAGGTGAGCTCATGTCTGAGGAACCTCTGGGGAGAGGCCCTTGGGAAGGGGCAGGTGGGAAGCAGGTGCCCTCCAAAGTGTCAAACAAAACAACTGATTCTGTCCTTGCCAGGGTCAGGGGTAGGTGTTCTGCACAGCAGCGCCTTGCCCAACCTCCCCCTGGAGGGGGCCGTGGTTAAAGCCCTTCGAACCCTTTATAGAAAGGTTTATAGAATTCTTTATAGAAGAATTTCCTCTTCTATAAAAACGGGTATAATGATGCCTACTTCCCAGATGAGAATTAAATGAGATAATGCATGTCAGATTCATTTCTAGAGGTGGCTGCTCTAAGGTTGCTGTATTCTTTCTCTTTTCTTGTTTTATGTTCAATGACCTTGGAACTTTTTTTTTAATTTTTAAAAAAATATATTTTATTAATTTTTTACAGAGAGGAAGGGAGAGAGATAGAGAGCTAGAAACATCGATGAGAGAGAAATATCGACCAGCTGCCTCTTGCACACTCCCTACCAGGGATGTGCCCCCAACCAATGTACATGCCCTTGACCGGAATCGAACCTGGGACCTTTCAGTCCGCAGACCGACGCTCTACCACTGAGCCAAACCGGTTTCGGTAACCTTGGGACTTTTTATGGGCCTCCTGCCCCTCAAAGAGGCGCCCTTCTTCCGGCAAGTGCTGGTGAGTGGTGATCTCAGCCGGGTGATCTCAGCCGGCCTTAATGTTCAGCAGGGTCTCGTATGTACTCCTGGCCTTGACCCTGCCCGTGTGACCATAGGTGCAGCAGGGTCCCGTGGAGCTGTTCTGTCTGCACGGCAGAGCGTGTCTCCCCCTCCCCCAGGCTGTTCTACCAGATTTCTCATCAAGTCCAGGTCGATCACCAAGGACTGGGCCGTACGTCTCAGCTCTGTGTCCTCTCCGCAGCCCCTATCTCAGCGGAGCCCGAGGTGACCATTGGGATGCCCCCCTCAACCTGCTGGGACAGTACGTGTCTAGCTCCTCTTGGTTCTTCCGAGCCAGCTTGTCATCCTGGGCCCAGTGTCCACTGTGATCTTGTTGAGGTCCTGAGATTTGGGGGCATCCAGATCCCCAGGCAACAAAGAATCGGCAATCTGACCATTTACTTCCTGTGTGCATGGTCCTTCTTCCTGAACAGCAGCTCCTCCCTGGAAGCCTGAGCTCTGTCTCTGACCTTGGAGCAATGCCCCTAGTCCCTGACCTGGGCTTCTTCCGATTCTGCTCTCCAGCCTCCGTCTCTGATCATCAGCCTCCAGGCTCCTCACCCTCTCCAGGTGGGAGGCCAGGCTGTCCCTGAGGCATTGTGTAGTCTCTTTCTTGCTCTGGCTGCCTCAGCCACTCCCGACACTGGTGGAGTGGGACACGGAAATCTGAGAGCCAGAGCCCCTGGCGCCTGCATAGACACTGGCTGTGCTGCTGACCGGCTGCACGGAGCCCAAGGTCTGGTCGTTGGTGGGGAAGCTGGAGCTGGTGCTGAAGCTTCTATAGTTCAGGAGGAAGGCAAGGGGCCAAGACTCAGGTTCGAGATGAAGGCTGCTGCATTCTTAGAGGCTCCTGAGCAGAGATGCTCTCCTCAGCAACAGAGGTCCAGGCATCGGGGTCTATTTTGCAGCTCCCCTCCTAGGCAGGTTGCTAAAGAGGCAACTGCTTCTTTTTCTTTCTTTCTTTTTTAAAAATAACATATTTTATTGATTTTTTACAGAGAGGAAGGGAGAGAGAGCACTAGAAACGTAAATGAGAGAGAAACATCGATCAGCTGCCTCCTGCATCCCCCCACTGGGGATGTGCCCGCAACCAACGTATATGCTCCTGCCCGGAATCGAACCTGGGACCCTTCAGTCCAAAGACCGATGCTCTACCACTGAGCCAAACCGACTTCAGCAGGCAACTGCTTCTTGCACTCCATCCCACCCCGGCCATTTCAGCTCAGGTTTCAGGCCACACTGTTCAGCAAGGTCCAGAAGGCCAAGGGTGAGAGTGGGGATGGCTCAGAGCAAAACCATCCCGGTGTGTGGGGCGGGGATCCAGGCTCAGAGATTTCCTAGGACTAGACCTGCAGGCACTGGCCCTTTAAGACACTCAAACTTGGGAAGGCCTTGGGGGCATCAGCGAGTCCTGAGGGCCTCCTGGTCCTTTCCAAACCTCTACGGACTTCCTCTCCCTTCTTTCCAAGAAGGTAGCCCGGCCCTGGCCGGTTTGGCTCAGTGGATAGAGCGTTGGCCTGCAAACTCAGGGGTCCCAGAGTCCATTCTGGTCAAGGGCATGTACCTTGGTTGCGGGCACATGCCCAGTAGGGGATGTGCAGGAGGCAGCTGATCGATGTTTCTCTCTCCTCGATATTTCTAACTCTCTATCCCTCTCCCTTCCTCTCTGTAGGGAATTAATGGGATATATTAAAAAAAAAAAAAAAAAAAAAAAAAAAAAAAAAAGCAGCCACAGCAGCTAGCCCTGCCCCTTTAAAGACATTCCTGGGGGCGTGGTTTGGGTGACGTCAGCTCGGGGCATGAATGAACAGGAGCCGGTTCTCACCCAACTTCCATTAAGGATTGGGGCAGGAGGTGCTGAAGTTGCGCGCGGGCAGCGGGCGGGAGCGGAACACCGGAGCCGGCTTGCGGGCGTGCGGGAGCCGGGCAGGGGTCAGGCCGAGAGCGAGGAGCGTGGCATGGAGCGAAGGAGGCCCCGGACCTGCCTCGCCCTGCTGTGGGGCTGCGTGCTGGTCGCCGCCGCGGCGCAGGGCAAGGAAGGTGAGTGTGTGTGCGCGGCGGCGCCCCGGCCGGCTGCCGGCTTCCCGGACCTCGGCGCCTCCCCGAGCCCCGTGCGCCCCGCCGCGCGCAACTTTGGGAACCGACCGGGCGCCGCCCAGTCCCGGAGCGCTGGGGTCGGGAGGCGCGTGGGCCGCGACCGGGACAAACTCGGGACCTCCCTCCCACACCCGGGGTTCTGGAAGCCGAGGGGCAGCGGCCCGGGAGCGCAGGGCTCGGAGGCCGCGGAGAAGGGAACGAGGCGCGCGGGCCACGCGGTGGCAGCCCCGGCGCCGTTTCGGGGACGCATCCCGGCGGGGGCGCCGGGGGGGGGGTCCCTTGGAAAAGGGGGCGTCGAAAGGGCTTTCGGGGCGCGGACTCGGCTTCTTGGTGATCTGAAGTCACTAACCCGTTTGCTCCGATGTTGCGGAGAAGGCATTCCTGTGAAGGCCCCTCATTTTGGGGAGGGGGCTCCTGGGCTGGCGGGGAGCACACTGCAGAAGCCCCTGCTCCTTAGATTTTCTCCACACCCCCCCCCCTTTCTGCCTCCAGGCTGGGAAGAGGGCAGGAAGGGAGTTTCGGGTCAGTCTGCCCACGCGTAGCCTTTCCCCCTCCCCACTCCGCGCTCCCAGGCGCACTCACTCCCGGGCGCGGGGCACAGGTTCGCGGCCGCCGGTGCCGGCAGGAAGTCCCAAAGCCAGGCGCTCTGAGCTGAACCGGCCCGGGGTGACTCAGAACGGGGAAATGCGGCAGGTGGGGGCGCGGCCCCGAGGTGTGGAGCCGTCACCCCGGGGCCACCGGGGAGTGCGGGCACCCGAGGCCGGGCACTGAATCACCCACCCCGCCCCGCGCTCCCCGCGCCGCAATGGGTGCGGGGCCCACCGGCCGCCCCGGCGGGGAGGAGTGTGTGTGTGAGTGTGTGTGTGTGTGTGTGTGGGGGGGGCGTTGCTCCGCAGCCGGGGTCGGGAAGAGGATGGAGGCTCCTGCCCGCGGCCCGGGACCTTCCTGTCCACCCCGCAGAGGCGGCTTCTGCTCCCAGCGGCGAGGACGAGCGTTCCGCGCCGGCCCGGGCAGAGGCTCCCGCGGCTCCGCCGGGGGGAGTGCGGAGGAAGCCCTGGCCGACGAGAAGTTTCCTTGAGCCGTGCTTCTGTTTTCCGCCTCCCCAGCGGAGGTCAGAGGATTTGCTCCTGCGTGTTGGGGGCTGGGGCTGGGGCCCTGGGGGTGGAGGTGTGGGGTGGCATTCTGTCCCAGTCTCTGGGTCAGCCTAGGCTGCTGGCTCCAACTCGCAGGAGGGAATGGATGGCAGGGATTTCTCTGGCCCTCGATGCGCCCCCCCCCCCCCCCACAGCGTTTGGTCCTACCCCTTCCTTGGGGACTGCGGTTGCAGAGAAGGGGAGAGGCAGCTGGTACAGTCCCTTTTCAAAGGCGGCCCGTGGGGGCTGGGGGATTAGGCTGCACGGGCGCTGCTGGGTGATTGTTATCCCGCATGGGCCTTGTCCCCGCGCTCCCACGTGGAGCCCTCGCCGGCCTGAGTGGCTTCCATCGGATGGGGGAGGGAAGGGGTGTGTGGGGCAGAGTCCTGGGATGGGGGACTAGGTATCTGTAGGCTCCCGGAGTCCCTTGGAGGCCTCCCGTAGGAAGTTGAGCCTAGGGGTGGGGTGTGGTGGAGGGAGGGATGGCCCAGATGGCAGCTGCTAGTGTGTTATGTTTTGGGGGATCTGCCTAGGGGTGGGTTGGGGGTGAGAGAAGGACACACATGTCCCCTTCTCCCTTAACCTGGGCTGCGGCTCAGTTCTGTGCTTCCTTCTCGCCCCCCTCCCCGTGGGTAGCAGCCAGGCTGCATTTGGAATCTCAGATGGAACCTTCTGGATTCTCAGAAGTCACTGAATCTTTGCCACAGGAGAAACTGAGGGAGGGCCCTGTGCACAGCGAGGGTCAGGTCCGAGCATCTGGCTCCTTGGACTGCCAGAGCTCGGGGCCCCTTGCCTGGTGGTTTCACGGTGGATATTCCGGGGAAGTGGGAATAGCTGGGCAGGGGTGCGGGGCTGCTGGCTTGAGGTGCTGATGGGAAAAGGCCTGGTGAGTGCTCAGAAGGCCTGGGCTTCTTGATTCTGTAGGAGCTCAGCTCTATCTCCTTCCCTTTTTCTTCCTCCCCCCCCCCCCCCAACCACACACAGAATCTCTTGCGCTCACCGCACCCCCCCCCCCCCCCCCCCGCCAGTCTTGGTTGCAGAGAGATGGGGAACAGGGAGGTGACGGGACGGGGAGTGGAGTGGGGGGAGTATTGCCTTGGAACCTGCAAAGGTGACACTGATGCCAGAACTTAAGTTGCAGGAGGCTTTCCTGGTGGTGGAGGAGGGACCCAGGGCTCCTGGCTGAGCCCCGCCCAGCCCAGGCCCTCTTTGGGGGCATCGAAGGCCCCCCCCCCCCCTCGCTTCCAGGGAAGCAGGTGCCTCAGCCCTGGAAGAGCAGGTGGAGGACCTTGGGGCTGGGCTCCTGTTCCTGGTGATCGGTCAGAGGGAATTTCCCGGGAGGGGGCTCCTTCCTGAGTGAAGGCTTTTTTCCTCCTCAGATTGAGCCCTGTGATACTTCCAGAGCCAGGCCTGAGGGGTGGAAGGGGAACCCCGCTCTGGCAGGGGTTGTGGGGCTCCCGCTGTGTCAGGTGAACCCTTCAGAGCCTGGGAGCCATGAGCCCCCTCCCTTGGAATGGACTGCGGCTTCCTACCTGTCTGTGGAGGCGGGTGTGCGCTCACCATTGTCCTGGCAACCCCCCCCTCCACTTCCCCCCAGCTGCAGCCAGGAACCTCCGATTTCTTCCTGTGTAGCCCAAACATTCCATTTGCAGAGGAGTTAGTGAATTTTCCAAGCCCGGGCCCTGGGCATGTCTGAACAAATCCCTGCCCATCCATCCTCCACCCCCTACCCTCCCCTCATGGTCCTGGGGCAGGTGCCACCTCATATTCCCTCGCCCCTGCCCCTCACCCCTGTCCGGGCTGCTGGGCTCTTCCTTGGGTCAGACGGCAGTGCCTCACGCCCAGGGGAGCCGCAGTCTTACCTTGGGGGAGGGTTTCGAAGGCTTGTCGGGTCCCTGGTTTGGCCACCCCCGGCCCCCATCTCTGTTCCCTGCTGCCCGGAGTTCCGCCCTCAGGGCAGTGCTGCTTCTTGGGGTCCTATTCCTCATGTTCCGGGGCCCAAAGGCACGGGTGCTTGGTCCCTTACCTCTCACCTTAGGGCTTTACCCTCTGGATGTGTGGACCTGTCTTAGGTCCCGTGCCTCAGTTTCCCCAGTCTCCTTGCCCTCCAGGGTGGGTGGCACCCGTTGGCAGCTACCCCGGCTTTACGTGGAAGTGGAGGAGGAGCAGCACCCGTTGGGCCTTGGCTGCAGCCGTTGAGCCTGGCAGAGAGCCAGGGTGGATGGGTGGGAGCTGCCCACGGGCAGGGCCGGGTCTAGGGAAGCCCCTGGCGACAAGCCCCTCCCTCAGGCTCCAGAGGCCGCCCTGGGGCCAGCGTGGTCCCTCTGGGCCTGGAAGTCCCCTGCCAGGCTTTCCGTCCCCGCTCCCACGGGCACCTCTGCGGGGCGGTGGGCAGGGGATGCGGGGCAGGGCAGCGGGAGCGACTTGCCTAAGGAGGGGACCTCGCCAGCTGTGTGTGTGTTTGGGCTCCTCCTGGAGGCCCCGTGGGTCCGGGCTTTATCCCCCTGCTCTGTGGCTTCTGTGGTGGGAAGATCAGTTTCCAGACACCCCCTACCGGGTCCCCCTCCGCTCCCTGGAGCCGCTTCCACCTGTGAACAGCCCTCTCTCCTTGCAGGACCGAGAGGCGTGTATGCACATATGTGTGAGCATACATGTGTGCTGTGTGGTTTGAGAATGGGGCAGGAATAGATACCAGGGCCCCCAAGGCCCACATGCCCGTGAAGTGCTGTCCAGAGGCCTTGTCCCAGGAAGCAGACAGGGCAGCGAGGTGTCACTTAACAGCTCAGCCTGACAGCCCCAGCCCTGCACAGCTGCTGTCTCCCCGCTGGGCCAAGCTCTGTCCCGCTCTGCCCAGCTGGAGGCTGACCGAGAGGGTGGTGGCTGGAGCCGTGGCAGACGAGACAGGAGGCTCGTCCTCACGCATCCCGCCGTGCAGCGCTGACGGGGTCCCCTCCCTCCGCTGGGCCTCTGTTTCCCTGGGTGTTGAGGGACGGGTCTCATGGATATGGTGACCCTGTACACTGGGGGGTCTCTCTGGGCTGAAGGACTCTGACCTTTCCCATCATGGCCTGACCCCCGGAGATACCCCCAGCTTACTGGCCTCCTCTCCTGTCTCTTCCAGTTGTTTTGCTGGACTTTGCTGCAGCCAACGGGGAACTCGGCTGGCTCACGCACCCGTACGGCAAAGGGGTAAGCTTCGGGGTTGGGCGGGGGCATGGGAAGGGGGGCGCTGAGACCCAGGGAGCATGAGGCCAGTCTAATCAAACAGCTCAGCCAGGGTTCATACTTAGTGTCCTGCTTCTCACACCTCTTGCAGGGAGACATCCCAGGGTGGGCTGGGGACCAGGAGGTGGGAGGGTGAAAGATGGAAAGAGCGGGGAGACAGCTGAAGGCCCTGGCGGAGCAGGGACCCTTGGGAGTTCCCTTTAGCCTAAGGCTGGGAGGGGTGGTGGCAGCCGCCCTGGGCTTGGATACCCCCAGGGCCGGGGGTCAGGGGGACTGTCTTGGGAAGGAAGGGGTTAAAGGCCCCCCTGTGTTCCAGGTCCCAGCCCAGGAGGTGGGGGTGTGGGTGCGGGAGAGACAGGGAACAGTGCTCCCAGGTGCCCGCAGCCCCTGCCTGGGAAAAGGATCAAGTTCCTTTCTGCTCCCCCAGCTGCTGCTCCCCCTTCCTGCTCAGGGCTGAGTTGGTTTTGCCTCATCCCCATCCAAGTTGTCTCCCCTCTGCCCTGGCCTGTGATGACCCAGTCTGGAGGGCAAGATGGCTGGGGTCCTTTCTCCAGCTCTGTGCATCTCTGCCATGCGGTCTTGAGGAAGACATTGCTGCTCAGGGGGCCTCAGTTTGCCCTGCTGTACAATGGGCCCTTGCTGAGTTTGTCCTGGGGCCCGGAGCCACGGAGAAGTGTGTCTCCAGGGGGCTAGCGGGGACAGCTCCCATGCTGGAAAGATCTGCGTGAGTGAGGTGCTTGGCCTCAGTCCCCTGAGCTTCGAGGAGGCCTGGATGGTCACTCTAGCGGATTTCCTGGATCCTGAATGTCCAGCTGGGAGGCATCTCAGATCGTTTCATCTAACCTAGTCATTATGCCGACTGGGAAACCGAAGCCCAAGGGCATTCCTCAGCCCCTCTGCTTTCATTCCTTCATGCACTCATTCATTCCGCAAATACTTTCCCGAGTACCTACTCTGTTCCAGGCAGGCCCTGTGTGTTCAGAAATGCATTAGACCCAGTCCCTTCCCCAAGGAGCTCAGGATCTAGTGTGGGAGTCAGATGTAGGTGTTACCACGTAGGTGCCAAGTACTTCGACACGGGGGACGGGAGACTGGGAGCCAGAGAGGGGCACGTGGCCCAACCTTGGTCCAACCTGGGACGTCTTCCTGGAGGAGGCCACGCCATGTGCTGAGGAGGGAAGAAGACGCGCTCGTCTGTCCCAAAGCCAAAACCTAAATGATGGGAGGTCAGCCATGGTTTCTGGCTTAGCCTCTTCCCCTGCCGCTCACACGCGCACACCGTGAAGAAGAATAATGACAACGATGATGTTGATAATGCTGATGACACAGCTCTTTCATCTTACCCTGCCAGGCAGCGTGCTCAGCGGTCTGTAGACATTCTGTCATTGGCCTGACACCAGTTCTGTGGGCTAGATCTTGTCCCCAGTCTACAGATGTAGACTCGGAGGCTCGGAGAGAGCTTCAGTGCTCCCCGTGAGGTCACAGGGAGTCCTCCCCCCCACTTTCCCCATACCCTCCCAGCTCACAGTCTAATACAGAGGTTCAGCACCCTGACATTGGGATCCGAAACAACAGGGGACAACTCCCTGGCTCCCTCAGTACTTCTAGTGTGTGGGGGTGACACGGAGCACCTCTCTGGGCCTCAGTTTCCTTCCCTGTAGGATGAGGATAGCGAGAACCGAAACGTGTCTTCCCTGGTGCCCGGGGCTGCCACCCGGGCATTGCCTCTGGGCCTCGGTCCCCTCCCACCTCCCCCACCTCCCCCCCGGGGGCCTCCCCACACTAACTCGTTGGCCCCCACAGTGGGACCTGATGCAGAACATCATGGAGGACACGCCCATCTACATGTACTCCGTGTGCAACGTGGTGGCCGGCGACCAGGACAACTGGCTGCGCACCAACTGGGTGTACCGCGGCGAGGCCGAGCGCATCTTCATCGAGCTCAAGTTCACCGTGCGCGACTGCAACAGCTTCCCCGGCGGCGCCAGCTCCTGCAAGGAGACCTTCAACCTCTACTACGCCGAGTCGGACGTGGACTACGGCACCAACTTCCAGAAGCGCCAGTTCATCAAGATCGACACCATCGCGCCCGACGAGATCACCGTCAGCAGCGACTTCGAGGCCCGCCACGTGAAGCTGAACGTGGAGGAGCGCTCCGTGGGGCCACTCACCCGCAACGGCTTCTACCTGGCCTTCCAGGACATCGGCGCCTGCGTGGCGCTGCTCTCCGTCCGCGTCTACTACAAGAAGTGCCCCGAGCTGCTGCAGGGCCTGGCTCGCTTCCCCGAGACCATCGCCGGCTCCGACGCCCCCGCCCTGGCCACTGTGGCCGGCACGTGTGTGGACCACGCCGTGGTCCCCCCCGGGGGCGAAGAGCCGCGCATGCACTGTGCCGTCGACGGCGAGTGGCTGGTGCCCATCGGTCAGTGCCTGTGCCAGGAGGGCTACGAGAAGGTGGAGGACGCCTGCCAGGGTGAGTAATGGGAAAGGGGTGCCAGGGGAAGGGGGTTCTGGGGTGGAGCCTGTGTTCCCAGGACTCGGAGATCTTGGTAAGGTCATCCCTGTGCGGATGTGGTTCTCTTAGTGGAAACCGCAAAGTCTTTCTAGACTTGAGGTTTGTTTGTTTGTTTGTTTTTAAATATGTGTTATTGATTTTTTACAGAGAGTAAGGGAGAGAGATAGGGAGTTAGAAACATTGATGAGAGAGAAACATTGATCAGCTGCCTCCTGCACACTTCGTACTGGGGATGTGCCCGCAACCAAGGTACATGCCCTTGACCGGAATCAAACCTGGGACCTTACAGTCTGCAGGCTGACGCTCTATCCACTGAGCCAAAAACCTGTTTTGGCTTCAGGTTTTAAAATATATATATATATATATATATATATATATATATTTTTATTGATTTCAGAGAGGAACAAGAAGGGAGAGAGAAACATCAATGATGAGAGAAACATCATTGATCGGCTGCTTCCCACAGGCCTCACACTGGGGATCAAGCCTGCATCCCAGGCATGTGCCCTTGACTGGAATCGAACCTGGGACCCTTCAGTCCGCAGGCTGACGCTCTATCCACTGAGCCACGCCGGCCTGGCTAGACTTCAGGTGTTTTATTTCCTTGAGAACGAATGAATGGTGAAATGAATGAATGGAGTCTAATATGGAGGTTACAAGCAAGGACTCTGGGTCAGGAATGCCTGGCTTCAAATCCCAGCTCTCTATTTACTTAGCTCTGTGACTTTAAGCCCATTCCTTAACCTCTCAGTGCCTGTGCTTTCTCACCTGTAAAGTGGAGGTGAACATAGTGCCCATCTTGTAGAGTTGTTATGATAATTAAATGACTTAATGCTCATAAACCGATTAGGTCAGTGTCTGACACGTAAGTGCTTTTCCGTGTGATTGTTATTTTTGATTCATCCCACAAGAATATCCTGGGTATCTACTCCGTATAGATCAGCACTGTGGGCATCTAGTGCGTTCCCAGGAACTAGTTCTATCTCTGTTCACTCACTGTGTGGCCTTAGGCAGGTCACTTAACCTCTCTGGGTCTTGAGCTCCTTTTTCGTACGTGGAGGTAAGCGATTTGGACTCAGGATTCACATCCCCTTGGTTTCCCAGAAAAATTATCTGGGAGCTTTGGAGAAATGCCTCTGGTGTTGGGGGAAAGGTGGAAGGAAGATGCAAGATCTGTGTGCCCCCTCTCTTCACCTGACCCTCCACAGGCCATAGACCCAGATGCTGTCACAGGGGCTTCTACTGATGACAGATCAAACCAGAGAGGAGGCCAATGAACCTAGACACTCTGGGCATTGGTGAGCTCACGTGGGGCAGCTGTGGCTTGGCACGGCCAGGGCATGTGACAGCGGAAATCGCTACAGCAACATGGCCTTTTTTCAGCGGGCGATTTTTTTTCTTCTGGAAACGGCTGTGGGGCAGGGCATTTGTGGAATGCAGGCCGACCTTTGGAAGGCCAGCTCATCCCCTTTCTCTGGGCGCTTCTCTGCTGAGGTACGCGGGGCGTTGAGAAATTGGGGATTGAGTCCATGCCGTTGCACATCCCCCCCTGGGTGACCTTGGGTAAATCTCTATTCCTCTCTGGCCTTTCCGTGTCAATAAAATGCGGAGTTCACGTGTTACCGCTGACCTGGGACCTGGATTTTAGCCACGGGTCCTGCAGCCTGGGAAGTGGGGTGACGTGTCGGAGGAGCCTGAAGCCCTTTCTGACAGGCCCCCCTTGCCTCCTGAGACAGATCCTCAGGACCCTGCAAACCCTGGTCGGGAAGTTCCCTGAGAGCCTCTCAGGCCACAAGCCTGTGGTGCGGTCCCTGTTCTGGCCGTTCTCAGCACCCCGTTGTCCTCCCAGCTCCCCTCTGCTGAGTGAGGCGGCCCCTGATTTAGGTGACCTCAAGTGCACACTCCCAGTTTCAGACAATGACGAGGGGGTGGGGTGGGGGGGCTGAGGCAGCCCAGTGGGTTGAGCAGACTCCTCCCACATGACATCCTCACACAGGAATGCGGGGGTGGGGGTGAGGGGCAGCTGAAAACTTTCCACAGGCTGGTGATTCAGGCTCTGGAGAGATAAGTGGACGGTTGGGACTGGGGTGGGGTAGGGGGGGGTCTCCAGCCAGCAGGGCAGCCTTCTCTCCCCCGGAGGTTGGGGGGTGGTGGGGGGAGAGTCAGGATTCTGGCAGGCTTTGTTTGTGAAGAGCTAGCAAGCCGAAGGAGAGAGTAACAGTACCTTTCACGGACAAGTGCTCTCCGAGGGCAGGCACCAGCCAGGCGAGCTTTTTATCCGGACACTCTTGCTGAGTTCACACCACCTTCCTGCCATTCCTTTTTTAAAAAAAAAAATTATTGATTTCAGAGAGGAAGGGAGAGGGAGAGAGAGATAGAAACATCCATGATAAGAGAGAATCATGGATTGGCTGCCTCCTGCATGCCCCCTACACTGGCAACCGAGCCTGCAACCCAGGGCATGTATCCTGAGTGGGAATTGAACCGTGATCTCCTGGCTCATAGGTTGATGCTCAACCACTGAGCCACACCAGCCGGGCTGTGCCTTTAACAGTCAGGGGTTTGAGGCTCAGAGACTTGCCTAGAGTCACACAGAGGAGATGTGGCTGCATCAGGGTTTGAATCCAGGCCGCACAGCGGCATCCGGGCTAGAGGATGGATCAGGAAACGGGGCGGGAAATGACCAGTTCCTTTGGAATCCCTGACTCAGCTCTTGGCCTTGGGACCAGCTCTCAGGGCAACCCCAGGATGGCAGGTCCTCGTGCAGGAGGGCGGGTAGTCAGGGGGGGTGTTTACTGCGCATGTTGAGGGAGAAATTGAGAGAGTGTCCTCTGTTCCTGATGGGAGGACCCTGTTGACCTGGATTCCCTCCTTGGGGCTTGTATAGATGACAATCTGTGCCCAGAAAAGGGGCGTGGGTACCCCGAGGTCACCTAGCAGCTGGTCCAGGTTATTCCCAAGGTTTGGTTCTCCTCAGGGGTCTTTCCCCAGGAAGCCCCAAGCTCAGGAAAGAGTTAAGCGGACAGCGGAAGGAGGCACCTCCCAGGTGCGGTGTCGGACAGGTGGGCACGCTGCCCGGAGAGCTTCCGTGAGCTATGTGAGGAATGAGCCAGCTTCCCTCTGGCACCCCGCCCCCGGCCCCGCCTGGAGGACAGTGGAGTCACTCAGGCTGACCGTCATCTCCCCTGGGGCGGCTTTGTCTCCCTCTCAGCTCCGCTTCCTGTGCTGGCATTGGCCGCCGGGCTGGCGGGCCCCCGGCTGGCGCCACGGCCAGGGGACTGCTGGCCAGGTGAGCAGGTGGCCAGCGGCTTGGCCAGAGGCTCAGCCCGGCAGCAGGGAGGCCAGAGCTGGGGGGTGAGGGGAGAGAGGGGGATTTGGGAATTCCCTCCTTGGAGACTCCTGCTCCCTTATGGGGCTCAGGATCTCGGGAATGTCCCCTCTCTACCTTAGTTTCTCTATTCCTGTCCATAGGGACACCTCATGCCAGACACCATGCTAAGCATTTCATAAGCAAGGTTTTCTTCCGTCTTTAATAACAACCCAGAGGGGCCGAGGATTTTATTCCCACGTTACAGAGGAGGGGACTGAGGCCAGGGAATGGAAACAGTGACCCAAAGAGCTGGGGCCTAGAATGAGGAGGGCGGCACATTGTCCCCAATTGCCCCTGGTCAGTGTCCTTCCATCTGTAGCTGGTGACCTTGGTGGGTCCCCTCTGGGCCTCAGGGACCAGGGTCCACTCCTGTGACTCTGTGTGTGCTGTGGCTCAGGCTGAGAACCTGGGCTGCTCTGCCAGACTGTTGACCATGGGACCCCACCGTGTGCCGAGGAGCAGGGTCCTAGCACTGGCACCCCCAGTGGCCCCAGCCTCGTCCGGGGTCCATAGCTGAAGGGAGGCATCCCCTGGACACAGAGGCTCCGGTGGAGGTGGGTCTTGGGCAGGTGGCCCTGGGCCTTGGCAGGAGCCCTGCTTTGTCAGGACATGGCTGGGGGCTCTGGGGGCCACCGGGCCTCAGCCCTTGGCCCCCTAATCCCCCTCTCCATACCCTGTCTGCCCCACCCTCAGCTCACACTGGGGCAAATTCAGGTGCTGGCAGCTCCTTGGGAGCGGCCCCTCCCTCCCTCCCTCACCGGAGGTGAGTGGGTCCCCAGAACGGAGGTGAGTGGGTCCCCAGAACGGAAGGAAGGAAGGAAGGAAGGAGGTGAGGGAAAGCAAACAGAAGATAAAAGGCTGGTGGTGGGGAGAGAGCAGGAAGCTGGGAGGCTGGGGGTGGAGGGAGCCTCGCTTATCAGCCGGGTGGAGGAATGCCCCCAAGATAATGCCCCAGAGCGTGTGTGTGTGTGTGTGTGTGTGTGTGTGTGTGTGTGTGAAAGCAGCAGGTGCTGGCAGCAATCACCTTGCGGGCAGCAGCTGGGGCCTGGGGGACACCTGCTTCTGTGGGGAACCCTGGGGCCCGGAGCTATCCGGTTCCCTCATTTGCTGGGTCAGTAACTCTGGGTTGCCTCTGGCTGCCTGTGAGGGCAGGAGACAAAGCCCACACTCTGCCTTCGTGGGCGGAGGTCACGCCAGCTGGGCACAGCTGGAGGTGACGGCCCCAGGGGAATTGCTGCGGTGACCTCCCGACCCTGTGACCTCCCCACCACGGGCCTGAGAGGCGGTTGGGCCCGAGGAGAGGAGCGAGGAGAGGAGCTCTGCCAGGGGCTGGATTTGCGTCATGCCAGAGGGCGTCTGTCCCTGAGTCACCCCACGCTGCCACCTGAGGGGCGGGTATCGGGAACTGGAAAAACTGGGGTACGGCCCAGGGTGCAGCCACCGTGCCCCAGTTCCCCTGCTCAGAGCGATACAGGCCTGCCAGGTGAGTGGGGCCAGGGAAGGTCTCCGCAGGTGTGCCAAAGCCAGGTGCGTGCCAGGCGGGTAGGCAGGTGGATGCCCTAGCACGCCATCCCCACAGGGTCTCCCTGGGCATCGAAACACTGCTCACTCCTTGGTCCTAGACCGTGTGTTTAATGTGCACGTTGTAGGTTTTGCATTTACTCTTCATTCATTCATTCATTCATTCATTCATTCATTCATTCATTATCTCTCCATCCATCCAGCCCACAAATAGTAGCTAAGCACCTACTGCGTGCCAGCCCCTCTGCTGGGCCCTCAGACTCAGATAACTTGGACTCCCTTCCCACTCTCCAGAGGCGGCCAGCCTCAGAGGCTCCTCATGTGTGCAGAAATAATGGCAGCCGGAGCACGCCAGCCAGGGAGCAGAAATGGCGTTTACCTCTCTCGCCGTGGTCTCCCGGCGCCCAGCGTTGTGCCGTGTAGGAAGTGCTCCCTGTCTGTTTGGTAAATAAAAGATTGAGTAATGGATGCCCTCCTGGGGCAAACGGGGAGCCAGCAGCTGGGCGGTGTGGAAGGGCTGTGGAGAGGCGCTCTGTAAGAGCCAGGCCGGGTTACTGACGGATGCATAGGAATCTGCCGGTTGGCTAAGGGACAGGGAGCATTTTGGTATGTGCCTGTGTGTGTGTGTGTGTGTGTGTGTGTGTGTGTGTGTGTGTGAACACCCAGCGTGTGACCCCCTGTCCCCGCTCGCCGGCTCAGAATGCCAGGAAATCCAGTCGGGCAGAGTGAGGAAGGCACAGGAGCCGCTGGTGCCCTGCCCGTGACCTCCGAGGCCCCCGCTCGCTCCGGCACGGCCCTGGGAGAGCCAGCCCCTCGGAGCGCGGTGGTGGGAGGAGGGGGCGACGCATTCTCGTCAGGCAGGCACATGCCCCGTGGATGCCGCCTCTCCACCCTGTTATCTGGCACATCCGCAGCGGAAATCTCTCCAAATTCCCTCTTTCCTGCCGGCAGCGGGCGGGCCACCCCCAGGCTCTGGGGCCAGAGAATGGAACCCGACGCTTCCCCCACGTCCTCCCCTTGGCACAGGGCTGGGGGGCTGGGGCGCAGCCACGTGGGTGTGCAGTGTGGGGGCACGGTGGGGGGTGTGCAGGTGGCTGAAGCCTTTAGCAGAGCCAAGCCCGCACTGTGGAGGCTCACGGTTCCCCCCTCAAAGCTCACCCCAGCCTGAGAGCCGGGACCGGAAAGGTGCGATTGAGATTCTAGGGTCCCTGAGCACCCCCCCTCTGCTGAGACCTCCTGCAGCACCCAGGGGGTAGACCCCGGGCAGACACGTCTGAGCTTCTGGGGGAACTGAAATCCCAGGATAAACATGGCCCAGCTTTCTGGAGTCCCATTCTTACCCGAAGATTTGGGAGAGGAGGGAGCTATTTTTGTCTTTTATGAGATATGAGGATGAATGCGTAATACCCAGGTCTTTCCCAAGGACGTTAGGACACTTGAAGGAGACTTTGGCCACCCCACCCCACCCCGGGTTTGATTCCGCCCTTCTCGGGCCCAGTGTGAGAAGTCCTGTGTTGGGGACCCCCCTCCACCCCCTTTCCCAGCGGCTCTGAAGGCAGTCTTGGGATGCTTTGGCTGTTGACCAGGCCATCTCCGCTTGGGGCTTGTCCCAGAACACGGATCCCTCCTCTTCGCTCCGAATTGAGATGCTCGCGGGAAAGGAGAGGGGCCCAGAGTCCACCATGCTGGGCTTAGGTTTTGTTTTTGTGTCCCGGGAGCTTGCTGAACGGGGGCAGGCTGTCTGCCTCTCTGCACAGCCATTTATTTCCCCGCCTCCACGCGGAGTGAGTGGTCGCAGTGCCCACATTTAACAGGCTTATCGTGAGGACTACACGAATGTCAAGCACAGGAAGTCGTTGTCCCAGGCCGCGAGGAACTGGGTGTTCTTAGAGTCCGCTCCCCTGACCCCTGTTCCGGTCCCACCTCTGCTCACACAGGGGATGGGGCAGGAGGGAGACTTGGGCAGTGCCGATCGGACTGCGCCATTATTCTCTACATCAAACCTTCCGTGTCTCATGGGCCTGGCATTAACGGCCTTTCTCCCAGCCTTTGTTGCCTGATGCCCCCACCCTTGGTGCCCACAGAGCCACTCATGCTGTCTGTTCGTCTTGCTGTTTCTCACCCCTAATTCCTCCCGATAGTTCTGCCCTACCGAACTCCTACTCAGCCTTTAAACCCCAGCCGAAATTTCTCCTCCCTGACTCCTCAGACCTCTGGCCAAGGTTGTTCCCACCCCACCCCCTTAGCCCGTTGCCCACTCCTTTATGGCGGACACTGTCACATGGTCCTGCTCCCTGAGGTCAGGGCCTTTGTCACACCTCGGGCCCACGCCCACCCCGGGGCCAGTGAGTGTTTGGTCCACAGATAAGCCGAAGGAGGGCCCTGGGAGGTGTCCCTCGGATGATCCCTCTCCACTCTGGCCACTTCAGGCCCTTGGGCAGCCCCACACAGTGGGCCTTGTGTCTGGGCAGCTTCCTGTCGGTGGGGCCGGAAAGGGGCTTGGGTTGGGGCAGGGGCAGGAGAGACCAGTGTGAGAAAAAAAGGCTGGGAGTCAGGTGCCTGCGCCCCTCGCCGGTCTTGCCAGGACAGGGCCTACCAAACGGGGGAGGAAGAACCGCTTCCTGGCTGCCTTTGTGAGCGGCGGAAATGACTCGGGCCTGGAAACAGACCCAGAGAAAATGCTGGGGGCCTGGCCTTTCCTGCTCTGGCCGGCCAGCCCTGGAACGGAAGGACAGTCGGATCTGGGCGTGGGGGGAGCACCTGCAGGGTGGCATCCTGAGCTGGGGTGCCTGGCTGAACAGTTGAGGTGGTGGTGGTGGTGGTGGTGGTGGTGGTGGTGGTGATAGTCATCAAAACAAACAGTGAAGACGACGCAGTTATTGCCCTGGGCAGCCCGACGTGCAGGCGGGGACCCGCCAGGCTGGTTTGCACAGATGAAAGGAGGTGCAGCAAGCTCTGTCCAGTGCTGAGCAGGGGTGAGAGAGGGCTCTAAGGAAGCTGAAGGGTGAGACGTGGGCCTTGAATGCCGAGCTCAAGGGCATGGCTCTTCTTGCAAGAGCCGGTGGGGCATGAGGCACAGGCTTGGAGCATGCAGAGGAGGTATTTCCTCAGTGTCCAGCACGAGACACTGTGTTCTCACATCACAAGGCATTTCACCGTGAGAAAATAGGCCCATAGCGACTTAGGGACTTGCTGGGGGGTCCCATGGCCAGTGAGTGGAAAGGTCGTTGCTGTGGGAACGGGTGGAACTGACCGATGTCTGTCCCTGTGCCCACCAGCCTGCTCATCTGGATTCTTCAAGTCGGAGGTGTCCGAGAGTTCCTGTTTGGAGTGCCCCGCACACACGCTGCCGTCCTCCGAGGGGGCCACGCACTGCGAGTGTGAGGAAGGCTACTTCCGGGCGCCGCAGGACTCGCTGTCCATGCCCTGCACGGGTGAGTGTGCAGAGGGTCCGGGAGGCTGATCGGCGGCCGGGGCCTGGTGGTGGGCCTGTCCAGAGCTACCTGGGTACGAGCTCTGCCCTCTGCGCAGGCCCGCCCTCTCCCCCAAGCTACCTCACGGCCGTGGGCATGGGCGCCAAAGTGGAGCTGCGCTGGAAGGCGCCCCTGGACAACGGGGGCCGCGAAGACATCACCTACAAGGTCACCTGCGAGCAGTGCCTGCCCGAGTCCGGCGAGTGCCGGCCCTGCGAGGCCAGCGTGCGCTACTCCGAGGCCCCGAGCAGGTTGACCCGCACCAGCCTGGTCGTCAGCGACCTGGAGCCCCACATGAACTACACCTTCGCCGTGGAGGCCCGCAATGGCGTCTCGGACCTGGTGGCCAGCCGCAGCTTCCGCACCGCCAGCGTCAGCATCAACCAGACAGGTGAGCGGCCGGCGGTGGCGAGCCTCGGTTTCCTCACCTGTAAAATGGGTGCCAGGGCTACTGAGAGGATGTAACACGTTCTCCTGTATGAAGCTCTTAGAACAGCGCCTGGTCCATAGAGAGGCGAGAGCAGGAGTTGGCTGTGACTTTGCTTTTATTGTTTACGCATTCCTAAGTGCTCTCAGGGCTCTTGTGAGGAGCTAACTGTGTGGGGCCGGGGTCTGGGGATCTGTGCTTAGAGCTGGAAGTTCAGAATCCCAGGTGTGGGGGTTTAAAATCACTTGCCCCCCGACCCCTGGGTGGCTCCTCACACCCCTCCCCCGCCCGTTGTTCTGCCAGAGCCCCCCAAGGTGAAGCTGGAGGGCCGGGGCACCACCTCGCTGAGCGTGTCCTGGAGCATCCCCGTGCCTCAGCAGAGCCGAGTGTGGAAGTACGAGGTCACCTACCGCAAGAAGGTAACTCGCCGAGGGCCGGGGAGGGGTGTCGTGTCCTAGATCCTCACCACGCGGCACAGCCATCTGGAGAAGCTCCATTCTGCAGATGGGGAAACTGAGGCCTGGGCTCTTCCTGAGTCACCTGTCCCAGGCCAGCACAGCGGAGATTTGGGAGAGGGGAGGCACAGAGTTCTGGAATTCCCAGACGAGATAATTGCGGGAGAGGGGGAATCCAGATCTTGGGGATCAAGCCGACCCGGGTTTGAGTCCGGGTCATGCCTTTGCTGGCTGTGACCTTGAGCGAGCACTTGGCTTCTCTGAGCCTCAGTGTCCCCCTCCGTAAGGAGAGCATTGAGTTTGCTGCATACGTGAGCTGAGCAGGGGTGGTCTCTGCGGGCAGAGCTGAAGCCCCTGCCTGCCCTCACCATCTGCCTCTGCCCCCGCGCCCACCCCCAGGGCGACGCCAACAGCTACAACGTGCGCCGCACCGAGGACTTCACCGTGACCCTGGACGACCTGGTCCCGGACACCACCTACCTGGTCCAGGTGCAGGCGCTGACGCAGGAGGGCCAGGGCGCCGGCAGCAAGGTGCACGAGTTCCAGACGCTGTGTGAGTCGGGGGCCCGGGGCAGGAGGGGAGGAAATGGGTCAACAAACTCAGACACCCACCCTTCTGGGCAGCCTGATTCTAGGACAGCCCCGTGTGGGCTGACGGCGTGGGGAGGGCGCTGAACTGGGAGCTGGGGGAGGGGACCCCGTGATATTTGTTCAGAGTAGAAGGGGGGATCTGAGCTCTGGCATTGGCAGGCCCAGGTCAAATCCTGCATTATAGGAAGAGTCCCACACCCAGGAGTGCCTACTGCATTCCCGGGGACGGCCTTATGTTGCCCATCTGTGAAATGGGGATAAATGGCATTATAACCATCACACGTAAAAATACCCAGCGTGTACTTCGGGTCCCTAAGGTGGGGTGCAATGGGGTGTGGAGTTTGGGGGGGAGGGGCGCTTCCTTCTTATCCGCTGGTCTCCCCAGCAGCCACGGAAGGATCTGCCAACGTGGCGGTGATCTGCGGAGTGGCCGTGGGCGTTGTCCTGCTCCCGGTGCTGGCAGGGATCGGCTTCTTCATCCATCGCAGGTTCATTGTGGGACGGAGGGGTGGGGGCCCCCGTTTCCCGTCTGGAAAACGGGCTGATAGGGATCTCCGCCTGCCGCGGGCGGGCGTGAAGGTGCCATGAGCTACGAAGCGCTCGGCACGCCGTGCGGCCGGGGACCCGGCGGGCATCCTCTCGGCCTTGTTGTTAACGTTAACGGTGTGTCCGCGCTTCCTCTGGGCACGCGGGCAGGAAGCGCCGGGGGAGCGCTAATGAGGAAAGCCCTCCTCGTGGCCGTGACGGGCACGGATCCCGAAGAGCGAGCCCACTTCTCGCTTCCTGTCTGCCCCGCCCGGCCTGCCCTCCGCCCTGTGCCCGCGGAGCAGGGCGCCGAGCACACGTAGGCCCCGCGCGGGTTCACCGCGGGGTCAGGAGGCTCCTGGCCGGAGCGGCCGCTGACCCCTGCGTTGGGTTCCTGTGGGTTCTCAGGAGGAAGAGCCAGCGGGCCCGCCAGTCCTCGGAGGATGTTTACTTTTCCAAGTCAGGTGAGATGCCGCCCCCCCCCCCCCCCGTGTCCCTCCCCCTGCCCCCCGCCCCATCTCAGCCCGCAGTCCGGGCATCCCAGGACTCTCCCTGGGCAGCTCCGAGGGGCTGAGCCAGAAGCTCCGTGTCCCATGGCCTGGTCCCGGTCCCCTGGCCCCTGGCCCCTGGTCTCCTGGTCCCTGGTCCTGTCACTTCCGCTCCCTCTTTGAGGGCAACCCTTCCCAGGGACCCTCCCTGGCCTGTCGGTGACCAGCCCCGCCTCCCCCTCCAGAACAACTGAAGCCCTTGAAAACATACGTAGACCCCCACACGTACGAGGACCCCAACCAGGCCGTGCTCAAGTTCACCACCGAGATCCACCCGTCCTGTGTCACACGGCAGAAGGTGATCGGAGCAGGTGAGGCCGGCGCGCCCGCGAGGGGCCTGGTGTGGGCTGGGAGCGCCCGGCCCCGGCTGACTGGGGTGCTCCTCCCGCCTTGCCCGCCTGCAGGAGAGTTTGGGGAGGTGTACAAGGGGACGCTGAAGGCGTCGGGGAAGAAGGAGGTCCCCGTGGCCATCAAGACGCTGAAAGCCGGCTACACGGAGAAGCAGCGGGTGGACTTCCTCAGCGAGGCCAGCATCATGGGCCAGTTCAGCCACCACAACATTATCCGCCTGGAGGGCGTGGTCTCCAAATGTGAGGCTTGTCACCAGTGACGGGGGAGGAGGGGGGACCCTGGGGAGCCTGACCTACAGGGGGGTAGAGAGGGCTGCCCACCAAGACTCGGGGGCTCTGTCCATAGCTGTACCCACCACTCCTCCATCTGTGCCCACGCCCCCATCTGTGCTGTCCCCTTACACCTGTGTCTACCCCCCCATTTGTGCCTCCCCCCCATCTGTGCTGTCTGTCCCCTTACACCTGTGCCCACCCCCTGCAGACAAGCCCATGATGATCATCACTGAGTACATGGAGAACGGGGCCCTGGACAAGTTCCTTCGGGTACGTGGGCGAACCGGGGCGGGCCGGGACCCTCGGCGGCGGGCTTGGGGGTGCCCTGTGGGGCTCCGGGTCGGCGGGCGGCTGAGGCCTGTGCTCTGGCAGGAGAAGGACGGCGAGTTCTGCGTGCTGCAGCTGGTGGGCATGCTGCGGGGCATCGCGGCCGGCATGAAGTACCTGGCCAACATGAACTACGTGCACCGCGACCTGGCCGCCCGCAACATCCTGGTCAACAGCAACCTGGTCTGCAAGGTGTCCGACTTCGGCCTGTCCCGCGTGCTGGAGGACGACCCCGAGGCCACCTACACCACCAGTGTGAGTGTCGGGGGCTGTGCCACCGGGGTCCACGGGCTGGAGGGTGTGGCAGCCTTCGCCTCGCCATGGGGTTCTCCCACCTGCTCACTTGGGGCACGGGCAGGGTGCTCAGGAGGCAAGAGCACCCATAGGGAGCACGGAGGTCGGGCCCTGCCCGCAAAGTCTGCAATAGTCCTGAGGCCGATCGGCGAGGACAGTGGTGACTGGGCCTGGGTCCCCTACAGGGTGGCAAGATCCCCATCCGCTGGACAGCCCCGGAGGCCATCTCCTACCGCAAGTTCACCTCGGCCAGCGACGTGTGGAGCTACGGCATCGTCATGTGGGAGGTGATGACGTACGGCGAGCGGCCCTACTGGGAGCTGTCAAACCACGAGGTAGGCCCCCTCCTCCTCCCCAGCCTGGCCTGCCCTGAACTTAAAACTCTCCTCATTCCTGAACCCCAAGGCTGGGCAGAAAAGAGATTTGGGTGCCAATCTTCATCTGGTACAAACCATTCCTGGGTTTATTCAATCAGGTTTATTGAGGGCCTACTGTGTGCTAGCTAGGTCTTGTGCTGGGTTCCAGGTCCAGTCTCTTACTACAGTCAGTGGAAAGACAAGGAAACCAGTTAGTGGTGTGTGTGCACGTTTGTGGGTGTGTCTCTGCGTGTACATTCATGTGCGTCTGCACGTGGGTGTGTGTGCACATGCCTGATGCCTCTTCCGGCCTGGAAGTCTTCTCAGAGGAGGGCACATCTCTGCTGAGACAGAACACAGCAAGGTAGCCAGGCGATCACTGCCCAAGAGTGCTCTAGGGCAGTGATCGGCAAACTCATTAGCCAACAGAGCCAAATATCAAAAGTACGACGATTGAAATTTCTTTTGAGAGCCAAATTGTTTAAACTTAAACTTCTAACGCCACTTCTTCAAAATAGACTCGCCCAGGCCGAGTTATTCTGTGGAAGAGCCACACTCAAGGGGCCAAAGAGCTGCATGTGGCTCTGGAGCCGCGTTTTTTTTTTTTTTTAATTAATTTATTTATTTGTTTATTTTAAAGGTTCTTTTTTTTTTTTTTTTAATTGATTTTGTACAGAGAGGAAGGGAGAGAGATAGAGAATTAGAAACATCGATGAGAGAGTCATCGATCAGCTGCCTCTTGCACACCCCCTATGTGGATGTGCCCGCAACCAAGGTACATTCCCTTGACCGGAATCGAACCCGGGGCTCTTCAATCCCCAAGCCGACGCTCTATCCATTGAGCCAAACCGGTTTCGGCTGGAGCCGCGGTTTGCCCACCACTGCTCTAGGCCAACCATGTCAAATTTGCGGCTGGTGGGCTGCATGCCGCGGGTTTGACATGTTTGCTGGGCGAAGTGGGCAGCTTGGGTAGCTGTCCAGGGACTGGAGGGAGGCTGGCTGCAGGGCTCACAGCATGGCTGCTGCTGGTGCCTGTGAGGGGCCAGGTCAGAGTCCCTTTCTCCATGGAGTCAGCCCCTGGACGTCGGCCGTTTGTCCAGCCCTGAGGACTGTGTGTGGGCCCACAAAAGGAGGCCCAACCTGTCTGTTTCTGGGACTCCCCGTTTGTTCCTCCGCTGCCCACCTCCATGTAGCGGCTCCCCGGGCACCTGCGTGGGGTGAGGGCCCTGAGGGCACCCTGACCACCTTGTCTCCTCTGCCCCACCAGGTGATGAAAGCCATCAACGAAGGCTTTCGGCTGCCCACACCCATGGAGTGCCCCTCCGCCATCTACCAGCTCATGATGCAGTGCTGGCAGCAGGAGCGCACCCGCCGCCCCAAGTTTGCTGACATCGTCAGCATCCTGGACAAGCTCATCCGCGCCCCCGACTCCCTCAAGACCCTGGCTGACTTTGACCCCCGGTGAGTCCCGAGTCACGCACAGCTTTGCTTAGACTAGACAGGGGGTGGTGAGGGCCACTCTGGTGAAAGCCATCAACCCATGTGCTGTTCTCGGCCTTGACATGTTTTAACTAAGGTGACCAGATGTCCCGCTTTGGGCGGGACAGTCCCGATTTTTAACAATCTGTCCCATGTCCCACGGCGTTTTAAAAAAGTCCCGATTCTTTCCAAAAATCGGGACTTTTTTAAAATGCCTGGGACGTGGGACAAATTGTTAAAAATCGGGGCGTCTGGTCCACTTAGTTTTAATTCATTTAAACAACCTCCAGGTGGGTCCTAGAGTCCTCCCCCTTTTGCAGATGAGGAACTGGGAAGGGCAGTTAAGTAGCTTACATGCGGGCACGTGGCCAGGCTGGGTCTGTGACGCCAGGAACCTGAGTCTCGCTCTTAAGGTTTCGCTATTTTGTGGTTACCGGGGATGGTCTTGTCAGGAGGGGCAGAGGGGGCAGCAGTAAGCTTCCAACGCTGAGTGTTCCCAGCATGCCAGGTTGCCTCCCTGAACCCACCTGACTTGCCTTTCCCCATGCCCCAAGGCTGGGGCAGCTGGGTGAACTGCCCAGTGAGGGAGCCCAGGCTCAGGGCTTAGGGCGGGCCCAGTGTGCAGCCCTGACTGGAGGGTGGATGCCCGTGTTGCAGAGTGTCTATCCGGCTGCCCAGCACCAGCGGCTCCGAGGGGGTGCCCTTCCGCACGGTGTCCGAGTGGCTGGAGTCCATCAAGATGCAGCAGTACACGGAGCACTTCCTGGCGGCCGGCTACACGGCCATCGAGAAGGTGGTGCAGATGACCAACGAGTGAGTGTGGGCTCTGCCCGTGCCGCCCGCCGCCGCCTCCTGCCCCGGTTCCACCGCCCTTCCTCTCCTCTCCGCCCTCCTCTCTCCTCTCGCCCTCTGCTGTGGGGAGGAAGGGCAGAACCAGGCCGGCAGCCAGCAATTCTGCTTGGCTCCCTCTTCTTCCGGCGCCTTTTTCCCAGAGTGGGAGAGTCATGGTCACACGAACAGGGGCCTTTTTCGAGGGAGCCTGTGGGCCGGCTCTGTGCACAAGCACCTGGGGTTAGTCCTCTGCTCCCTGGACTCGGTCCTCCTGCTAACTCGGCAGGTGGGGCCAGTCCGTGTTCTCACTGGACAGGTGAGACGTGAGTGCAGAGAAGTGCAGTGACCTGTCCAGGGTCCTGCAGCCGCTAGGGGCAGAGTTAGGATTCCAGCCCTGGCCAGTCCGGGTCCAGAGCTCAGGGACCCTGGAGGTCATCGGGGGAGGAACTGAGGCTCCGAGATTACCTGGCTTACGTCAGGTCACACCTTGTATAGCCGGGCTTCTGGGAAAAGAGTGACTTCCCTTCATCGCCATTGCTGATTGAGTTCTGTTTGCCTTTGGAATAGGTGCTCTTATCACTTCCCTGTTTTACAAATGAGGAAACGGGGGCCCAGATGTTGCAACGCTTGCCTGGGGTGACAGCCAGTTAGGGGCAGCCTTCCTCTGCAGGATACTGAGAAGAAACGGGCAGGAGAAAGGGCCCAGGCCAGCCCCTCCCACGAGGTTCCTGTCATGGGGGCACCTCTGCCCACATAGTGACTGTCAGCCCTTGGTCCAGCCTGGCAGAGAGTGCCAGTTCCCCTTGCCCCCCAGCCCCCGCTTCTGCCCTCGACAGGCTGTCCTATGGGAGCTCAGCGCCCTGCCCAGCTCCCGCATCGGGGGGACCTTTCCCGGCAGGGCCTTGGCAGGGAGAAGCCCCAGAGGGAGAAGACACTATCCTCTGAGCCTCTTGTGCTTCTAAAAATAGCGTGGTGTCCTCCAACAGCTCCACTTGTCCAGGGTTCGAGGCCACGGCAGGAATGGCGCTGGGGCTAGGAGGTTTTGGGAACCACAGGGAGGGGATGACCCCGGCCGGTCACGGTTCTGGGTCACAGAGGTTCTGGGACTTGGGCCTGTGCACGAACATTCTCCAGATCCTCGGAAAACCGCTCATCAAGGCCTCTCCGCCCAGGCCGTGGCCCATCCCAGGGGACGGCTGGGGATGGGAGCCAGGGGAGGACAGACTGACCGGAGGGAGGCACGGAGATGTGGAGAGAGGAGACGGGTCCCGGGGTGTCTCCTGTGGCAGCCAGCTGCTAGGGTCCCAAGCTTAGACTCCGTGGTCACACCTGGGCTCCAGTCCCACATTTGCCACTTCCTAGCAGGGGACCTTGTTCAAATTAGGTTTCGTCTTTGAGTCTTGGTTTTGGGTTCCCCCTTGGGGGACTGCGTGGGCACCATGCCTAGGACACGCCTGGTGCACAGTAGGGGCTCAACCCTCTATTCCTTTGCTTTCTGCCCAGCCGTGGGCAGATGCCCGGGTGCCTGGGTCCCCGCCTTTTCCCTGGGAACCTGGACCAGCCCCCTCGGCCCCGCCAGGGGCTGCCCCGAGGACAGAGGACAGCATAGCTGCTCTTCTGGGTGAGCGGGGCTGAGGGCAAGAGAAGTGCTTACAGGAAACACGCTCTCAAAGGCTTCCCGAAATAGCCGGGGTGCTCCGCGGCCAATTCCTTTCCCACGGAGCCGGGACACGGCTATCTGGGATGGACGGGGGCTGTGTGTGTGTGTGCGTGTGTGCTGTGTTTTGAAAAGGCCTGGATAAAGGCAGGAAGTCATTCCACACTCCTTCCCCCTCCCACCAACCCGCTGATGCTCGGAGCTGGGGTCTGCGTGACTCACAGCACCGCTGCCTCCTTCTTTCCTTCAAATAAAGGAGATGGATGGGGATCGCGAGCACTTTCTCAACCTGAGGGCCGTGTCTGCACACGCGTGGGTCCGGGGGGGGGGGGGGGGGGGCTGAGCGGGGCTCGGGAGAATCCCGCTTTCTTCATGGGTCTAGATTTAGGCCTCAAGGTCGTCGCCGGTCCCTTGGCCTCCCTGCTTCCTAGGCCTGTCTGTCCCGAGGGGCTGGCTGCATGTTCCCCGTGGTCCCACGGTGGCTGCCTTTCCTCAGCTGGAGCCCTCGGAGGGTAGTTATGTGGGAGCCACTGAGTTTCCAGCTAGACCAGTGGCTCTAAATGGTTTTGAGGAGCAAATGAGGTGGTGGTTTTGCACCCCAGAAAAATGTCCATCCTCACAAAAGGCCCTGGCCAGTGTCTGAGCCTGCTGCCCATAGTGTCCTGCGAGGGTCTTCACGTGCCCTCAGCCTCGGCCTGGCGCTGATGGGATGTCTGCTGCGTGGATGACGGGTCGGGGGCGCGAGGCCATCTCTCATTCTCCGCTCCTTGGTCCAGGCGGCACGAAGTAGGTGTTTCCCGGGGAGGTGTGGCCTCTGAATCTCCAGGGCCAGGGCTGGCCTTGAGAGTGCCCAGGAGAAAGGCGGCCTCGGCCCTGCGTGTCCTGTTCTGGATCCCCAGGGGGAAACGGGAGCCGTGTGTCTCTGGTTAGGAAAGGAGGCAGGGGAGGCTTGGGGGCGTAGTATTGAAAGAGAATGGGGCAGGGCAGGGGGCTCAGAAGCATCTAATCAGAGCCTCCCATTTACATGTAAAGAAACTGAGGCCTGAAGACGGACAGGAAGGCCCAGGGCTTGGGTGGAGTCCTGGACTGGAGTTTGGCCTCCTGCCTCCCAGCCCAGGGCTTTTGCCCCTGAGCTCCCACCCTGTCACATGAACCACATACCATGGTGGGAGACAGGCCCAAGGTGGCCTGGGCAGTGAATCAGCATCCACTAAAGCATTCATCCATTCATCCATCCATCCATCCACCCATCCATTCATCCATCCATCTATCCACCCATCCATCAGACACTCCAGAGGACCTACTGTGTACCAGGCCTATCCTAGACCTCAGGAGGGCATGGGGATGAAGGGGTGGGCCCAGCCATCGCCCTCCTACAGCGCTCATGTCTCACTGTTGTTTTTGTTTGTTTGTTTTTTAATATATTTTATTGATTTTTCACAGAGAGGAAGGGAGAGGGATAGAGAGCTAGAAACATCAAGGAGAGAGAAACATTGATCAGCTGCCTCCTGCACACCCCTTCCTGGGGATGTGCTCACAACCAAGGTACATGCCCTTGACCGGAATCGAACCCGGGACCCTCAGTCCGCAGGCTGACGCTCCATCCGCTGAGCCAAACCAGTTTCGGCTCATGGGTTCTTTTTTTAATTTAACAAATTAAAAATTTATTTCTCAAAATGTCTAGCCGGTGGGACCTGTTGTTCCTGCATCTTCCCCAGCCGCTGGAGCATCCCCACGCCTGGCGTTTCTGGGGTACATGACTTGAGCTCTGTGCTTGGAACTAGTTTAGTGAGTCCTGTACTGAGGACCCTGCAGGGCTGCCCCGGCCAAGGAACTGGGGTCTCCGTCTCAGGGACAGCAGCTGGGTCATAGCTGGTCGCTGGGAACTTCCCTACGAAGTTTGTCAGAGGTGGCTCTTTCCGACAAGACCAGGTCATTGAGCTTGTCCCGAACGTTGCCCTTTGCCTGCGTCTTCTTTTTGGCTTTGCCCCAGATTTGTTCTCTGGTCTCTGTCTGTCTCGGCCGACTTTCCGGAGCCTTCCTGCTTCTTATCGACTTGGGCGGGAGCAATGGCTGCCGCCGGTGCCTCAATGAGATGGACTAAAAGCAAACCCCGGGTTAGGGTTAGGCTTAGGCTTAGGCTTAGGCGTAAACCGTGCACCAGGGTCTCTGAGGGCTGCTGGCAAGCTGCAGGCTCCGGGCCCCGCTGCAGAGCTGCAAGGCCAGGGCACCTGGAGGTGGGCCCGGGACCCTCCCTCTTTCCCCGGCGGTGCAGATGTTTCTCCGGGAGCCACCAGGAAACCTACAGGGGCGGGGAAAACAGCTCCTGTTTGTAACACCCCTCAAATGTTTAGGTTAGAAACGGGAGCCAGGGGATGGGAGCACAGACTGAGCGGAGGGAGGCACAGAGATGTGGAGAGAGGAGATGGGTCCCGGGTGTCTCCTGTTGCAGCCAGCTGCCAGGGTCCCAAGCCTGGGCTCTGCCGTCACACCCGGGCTCCAGTCCCACATTTGCCACTTCCTAGCAGGAGACCTTGTTCAAATTCGGTTTCGTCTTTGAGTCTCGGTTTTGGGTTCCTCACAGTGGGGACTGCGTGGGTACCATGCATGACACGCCGGTGCCCAGCAGTGACCCCTGGCCCTCCTGCCACAGTGGGAGCCGCCAGTCCCTGAGCCGCCCGCTCCCCCACCTGGGTCTGCTCTCCCGCTCAGCCCTCCTCCGAGGGTTCCCAGGGCCAGTGGGAAAGTCACGTCTCGGGATTGCAAATAGGAACTCGCACCATATAATTAGCTCCGGTTACAGCCAGGAGACGGCCCGTAAAAACCTGGGTGTTTTCATGGGTTTGGGCTGGTGGGTGAGGACGGCGGAGGAGAAAACTCCCAGCGTGAGCAAGAACCGTCCTGCTCCGGGGCCCGGGAGCGTGAGTGGTTTTACGAGGGGATGGAGGCTGCCTGGGAAGGGCTGTCGGGAGTGGAGGGGGGCTGTGGGCTCCTGGGCACACCCTGCTATCTGGGACCCGTGCTGCCTTCCCCCACCACCAGTTTCGGGGTCTCCCGCCTCCAGCTGGACACTGTTATTGTGTTTTACCCGTGGAACATTGAGGGTCCTGAAGGGGAACCACCTGCCTCTGGTGACCCGTAAGCCGCTCCTATTAGAGACCGGCAGGGCCCTCAGCAAGTACTTCCTTGGTCGGTGAGCAGCCGTGAGGACTTGGAGGGAGAGGGGTGAAATGAGGTGGGGGCTGGGGAGAGACAGTGGAGCAGCAGCCTTTGGGCAGGAGGCCTCAGCTGGGTAGACGCGGGACAGACCCCGAGTGGGAGAGGGGATGCAAGGCTCACCGCTGGTTTGGTTTCCAAGCTCTCCCACCTCCGAGCTGTGTGACTTTGGGAAAGTCCCTTTACCTCTCTGAGCCTCAGTTTTCCAATCTACCGAAGGAGCGTGAAAAGAGCACCTACTCAGAGTACTTCAGATAATCCTGCAGATTTGATTTAAAGGGGGGAAAAAACTTCACCGAGTTGGCTCTTCTGTCTTTTTTTATTTATTTATTTTTTGTCAAATCAGCATGCTTTCAGGAGATAGATTTTTTCCGTCAGGCCTCTGCCCTGCCAGATCCCCAAGGTTCCCCTCTTCTCCCCACTCCTCAGCCCCCCCTCCCACAGCTGCCTGCCTGTCCCAGCTGTCCCAGCCCCTGACCCGCCCTCTCCCTCCTGCCTGCAGGGACATCAAGAAGATTGGGGTGCGGCTGCCCGGCCACCAGAAGCGCATCGCCTACAGCCTGCTGACGCTCAAGGAGCAAGTGAACACGGTGGGGATCCCCATCTGAGCTCCGACAGGGCCCCGCGCCCCCCTCGGCCCGGAATACTTGAAGAAGCAGCGGTGCGCCTGGCACGAGGGACCTTATTTATTTCCAGTCGTTTCTTACGGACGCCACCCTGAGGCCTCTGCCGGGGGGCAGGGCGGGGTGTCTAGAGGTCACCTTGGCCTGAACTGAACCGAGGAGATGGATGCTCAGGGATTCCGAGCCGGGGCTGCCTCGCCCACAAAGGACAGCAGCCAAGCACTTAGCAGCGGGCACCACCGTGGTCCCGGCCTCCCGGTCAGGAGCCCCGCCGAGGCTGTGGGATGTTTCCACATCTCCCTTTCGCTGTCCCGGGAGGTGAGTGGCCACGGGAACAGGGTACCTCAAGCCCCAGCCACTCGAGGGAAGAGGACTGACTGCCCAGCCGCTGGGAGAGGCCCAGAGCTGTTCCCCGCCTTCTAGTGCCTTCCGCAGGCCCTGTGCTCCGCCCCCAGGGGCCAACCCCTCACCTGCCCAGGGCCCTCGCTGGATGCTCGGTCGTGTTGAGGTTTTTTTAAAATATATATATTTTGTACTTTGTGGAGAGGATGTGTGTGTGACAGGGGGCCTGGCTAGGGCCGGGGGCAGAGGACGGGGGTGTGTGTGTGTCAGACATTCCCGGGCGGGGGGTACTGGTCCATCCATCTCTCGCCTCTTTGGACAACATTCGTGACTCCGTCGTCAGTGTTAACGATTTTGTTTTGTGGGGAGCTTCTTTTTTTTTTTTCTCGAACCTTAATTTATTATTATTTTTTTTATATTTATTGTTAGGAAATGACTTATTTCTGCTCTGGAATAAAATTGCAGATGGATCAAACTGGCCTTGGTGTTTGAGTTTGGGGGGGCAGAGGCGCAGAGAGGCCCTCTGTGTTGGAAGTGGGGGTTGGGGGTGAGGGGTCGCCCCCACGCTGAGTATTTCGCAAGGCACACATGCCATGTGACCCTGGGAGTGGGGGTGGGTGGGAGGTGGGCAGGGAGCCCGGGAGCAGGCCCAGCCAAGCCCAGCCTCCATGCCAACAGGCCTCTGTCACCTTTGATCCGAAGGCTTGAGTGGGGGCTGAGAGACAGGGGGGGTGGGGGACGGCAAGAACAGCCATGGGCCCCTCCTACACATCTCCGCAGAGCTGATGAAATACATTCTTCCACTGCCCGTGCTGGGCTCTGAGTTTTACAGAAGATTTTCACAAGTGTTGGCTTGTTGGGGCCTCAGTGCTCTGAGTTTTATAGTTAGCCCCATTTTACAGAAGAGGAAAAGTGAGGCTGGGTCCAGAGACGGGGCTTGCCCATGCGCCTCACAGCAAGTCGGAGGCAGGAGCCAACATTGAAAGCAGGGCCGGAAGTCCCAATTAGAGGCTTTTCTCACAGCAGGGGAGACCAAGGCTCAAAGCCGTGCAGGGACTTGCCTCAGTCACACAGCGGGAAAGAACAGGGGCCTTGAGGGAAGCCAGAGACCCGACTTCAAACCCTGGGCCCTCTCTGCTACACCAGCTGGCTGCCCTGAATGCCAGGGCTTGCTCACCCCTCAGGAAGGTGTGGCCCGCAGGTGAGCGGAGATGACCTGGGCACAGGAGGAAGGCTTCCTGGAGTAGGTGACCTGGAGCTGAGACCTCGGGGATTAACCGGGAAGCAGAAGAGGGCAGCGCAGGCTGTGGGAAACCATGTGATTGTGTAAGGGGGAGGCACAAAGTTTGCTATTATTAGGGTAGACGTGGGTGCCGGGGGATCTCCGGGGCCTCATAAGGCGAATCCAGTGGCGGGACTGTTAGGCTGAGGGCAATGGGGAGCCATGGGCGGTTTTAGCCAGGGTGAGGCACCATTGCCGTGCCCCAGACAGAAGTCACTGGGAGAGGCCTGACTCCCCGCCTGTGGCGAGACAGGAGACAGGCTGGGCCCTCCCTCAGCTTGCCCTGGGGTCTCAAGGCCGGCCTGAGCCTCTGCCAATCACCCTGCCACTCACTGCAGGAGGGGAGGACCACCTGCCACTCACTGCAGGAGGGGAGGACCACCTGCCTCTCACTGCAGGAGAGAAGGGCTGCTCTTTGGCCCCGGCCTACTGAGCATCAGTGAGTTGTGCAGTGGCAGGCAGGGCTGGGGTTGGGGAAGGTGAGGGAGTTCAGGGACCAGCTCGCCAGGCCACAGGGGTGCGCTGGGCATGTGGCTGAGTCAGGCCTGCCCCGTGTGAGACGTGGCTCTGTTATGGGCTGTGGCTACTGCCACCACCACTGACAGAGCTGTCCTTCCAGCAGTGAGCAAGCCTGCAGTCCACAGCAACCTGAGCTGCAAGGGTGGTGAGGCCAGGCCGGAGACCCATTGCCGAGGCCTCTCAGCCACCCGTGGCCCCACGGTGAGCAGGAGTGGACACAGGCCGGGGCTCAGCAGGGGGAAGGTGACCTCATGTGCTCCTCCCTCAGAGCCCGGGAGCCAGAAGGCCCTCCGAGGGCACGTGAGATTGCTCAGGCCTGTGGGCTGTAACGGGGTCTGTATTTGAAAGCCAGGCAGCTGACAGAGCTTCCAACAGACCTACAATTGCTGAGAGGGGAAACTTAATTTAAAAAAACAAAACAAAAACCTCGCTCTGTTCCCTAGAAGGAGTGACGCCCTGGTAGCAGATCTTGGTTCCTAAACACCACTCTCCATAGAAGGAACCGGGGCTTTTAGGGAAATGACTGATCCTCCCACCGAGGCAGGGGAAATAGACAAGGAGTCTAGAGCAGCGGCCGGCAAACTCATTCGTCACCAGAGCCAAATATCAACAGTACAACGACTGAAATTCCCTTTGAGAGCCGAAAACCGACTTCTGCTCATGGGCCACCAAGTTTCCATCGCACTGTCTGTGCGCGACCGCACGTGGTATTTTGTGAAAGAGCCACACTCAAGGGGCCAAAGAGCTGCATGTGGCTCATGAGCCGCAGTTTGCTGACCACTGGTCTAGAGCATGTTGTAGTTCTAGAGAGGATGGAAACACTTGAAAAATAAGCCGATGGGGTGTGGGGGGGGAGGGAACGGGAGGGGGATGGCAGACATAATAGGAGGCAACCCGGAAGCGATTTCACATGGCCACACCTAAACCAGATTGAACATCAGATGACACAGCATTGGATTATAACCCACAGTAGGAAGTACTATACACGATGATTGAAGAAATGCATAAATGGGGAGACCAGACAAGCCTTCCTTTCAAAGCGATTCCAAATAACCACGGAGTATGGGCTGGGCCTAGCAATACCCTCTGGAAGAAAGGATGTGCAGAAAGGGTTAAACGTGTGTGTGCGTGTGTGTGTGTGTGTGTGTGTGTGTGTGTGTGTGTGTTCCACATTGGAGAAACATGGCCAGCACCACAGTAACCAAGTTAACATGAAAAAACACAAGGAAAAAAACAAGCAAACACACCCAGAGCAGCAGGAATGGGCTGCTCGCATTGAAGATCAGGTGTCAGCAAACACACAGGCCTCCTGGGCGCCACCCACCGCTCTGCGTGTTGACTCACTTAATCCTTCCAGCAGCCCTTCCAGGCGGGCACCGATATTAGCATTTGACAGATTTGAACACTGAGGCCCCCAAAGGTCAAGTAACGGACAGAGGGCCCCAGCTCAGGCACGGCAGGGGCAGGGGCCCGGGCCGCAGAGGCCTGAAAGCCCAATGGTTTTCCACCTGCCGCTCTCCACGGCCAGGACAGGACGTGCTGCCTCTCTGTCCCGGACGCCTCCGAAGACGCAGTCTGAGAAGCACTGGTTCTGGGGGAACCAAGGCCAGGGAACCTCCCCGAGGTCTCCAGATGCCCCAGTGCCCCGAGACGCGGGCCCCCAGATTGAGGAGGGAGGAGGAGAGGATGGAGGTGAGTTAACCACTTCACCCCTTTCCACAGTGGGCATCTGCTCCGTGCCAGGTGGGCACAGGGGCTCAGAGAGAAGGACGCTCTCTCTGCCCTCCTGGAGCTCTCAGGTGGGTGGGGGGCAATCGTAGCAACGGGGCCCAGGCTAAGAGGGGGAGGGTGTCATAGGAGCCAGAGGAGGACACTGGTTCAGCCTGGAAGGTTCAGGTGGGCTTCCTGGAGGAGGAGGAGCCATCCTCGCTGAGGCCTGAGTCCAGGAGGAGCTCACCAGGGGAGGGGAGAGGTGTCCCCAGAAGAGCCTGTTCCTGCCCCCCGGACTCCAGACCTCTGTGGATGGGGCCTGAGTCCCCCCGTTTGACCCGGACCAGCTCGAAGCCACCCTGGTCCTGACTGTCCTGTCCCGAGCAGCCCCAGGACACCAGCCTGGTTCTCGTTCCCGCCCCAAGCAGAACCTTACTCTCTGACCTCAGTCGTCCCGGCTGAGAAGTGGGGCCCGTCCTGGGCTCCGAGCCGCGGGGCCTCGGCAGCCCTTTGATGCACCAACAAAGCCCCGAAGGAGGCGAAGGCAGCAATTAGGAGGGTGCCTGGCCGGGAGTCGCCCCTTTACCCGCTGCTCCCCGTGTGGGTGGCAAGTTAAAACGGTATCACCAGGCAGCAGCCTTGGGTTCCCCATTTACTCAGCCGATCCTGGAGGAGTGGGCACGCTCCCCGCCCCTCCCCCGCTCCTGGCTGTGGCCCCGGTGGGAGGACAAGGCCTGGCACACCGCGGGTGCTGCCAGAGCAGAGGGTGAACGCGCGGGCGCCTGCTTCATCTCTCCGTCGCCCTCTTCCCCGGAACAGTGCCTGACACCCAGTAGGCCCTCAATAAACAAACGCATGAGGGGAGCCTGAGGGCCCCGGGGGGCCACACGAAGCCAGATGGTTTAGGATCCCGAGACGCTGGTGGTGTGGGGGGCACTTGCTACGCAGACACCCGGCTCCTCCTGGCTGGAGGGCCGGCCCCGCACAGACAGTGAGGGAGAAGGGACCCAGGGTTTCTGAGTACCTACTATGTGCCAGTCCGTGTGCCAAGCCTGACACCCACATCTGTCTTATGGAGGGATCGTAATGACCCTGCAAGACATGGGTTTGTCCTCGTTTTACAGATGGGGAC